CCCCAAAACCCCAAAACCCCAAAACCCCAAAACCCCAAAACCCCTAACATGAATCTATAAATAGAAAGAGTTTACGAATCTGTTAATAAAATACAAATGGAAAATACAGAAGTTGAAAATATACATGAAGAACTCAAGCTAAAAAGGGAGATTTTATGTGTAACAGACAAAGATCCCAGCACTTATGGGTATAGAAAAGATTTTGAAAAAAATTTATACGTTGAGTTCAGATACGGCCCCACAGTAAACCTCTTGAGTAATTGATTTAGAAATTCTGAACAATGGATTTTGGAAGATTCATTAAGCTTAACTTCCATGACTCTGAAGAGCAAGGCTTTGACTTTGAGATTTCTAAAGACAAATTTAAAAGTAATTGTAATGAAGCTACTCTCTGTTAACAATTTATTTTAGGAAGAAGAAATAAGTACCAGAATAGCTTTTATCAGGTAAGTTCTTGTGTAAATCGCCTTTTGGAGTTATGTATTTGAACAATGTTTTATTTTTGAGAGATTGGGAAAGGTAGCTCACTTTATGCGCTTTGAAATAATTTATTTGAGTTATTCTTTATTTACAGCTCTTATGAAGATAATCTTCATAAATTTGTTGGGAATCTAACTTTTACTCACTTTGAGCGATAGGAAGATATTATCTTCTTGAATTGATTCCTTTTAGAAATCTTTATTTAGATTCAAAATATCACAGAACTCAGAATGAGAGCTGATAGAAGTAATCAGAATTTGTGGTTTAGATACCTTGGCCTTGGTGCATTAAAGATGGTCTCCAAGGTCACCAAACAACTGACTTTCAGCTCCATCAAGTTCTCTTCCAAGAGTCTAAGCCTACTCTTCACCAGCATTGTCGATCTCAAGAACCTGAACCTGGAACAGTGCACCCTCGACTTGTCTCATCTCAGACTGCCGATCAAGCGCGAGATTGGTCTGGAGGCGATGACCATTTGGGAGTGCTTCTTCACTCAGGACGAGCCCAAGATGAGCATGGAGGATCTGGAGATATTGCTGAAGTTTTTGGCCAATCATCAATTTGGAAAGCTCAGACTTCTTACTCTTCAGAACCACCACTTCGGATTCTTTGATCTCAAAAAATCGATGATCAAATGTCTTGGAATCACTAGCAAACTGAAAGTGGATATTCCAAAACCCAAGAAGTTTGGGCATAATGCTTTTGGATGTGTAGTGTTTTAAGTGACCAATAAAAATTGCTTGCTCAATTATTAATTCGTCACCTCAATTATTGGAATTAGGCTAGGGGTTTTGGGGTTTTGGGGTTTTGGGGTTTTGGGG